TTCGATTGAATGTGCGTGAGCTTTGGCGTTGCTATAATCTGCTTGTATAAACCGTTTTGATATTTTGTGTCCGTGATTGTGTAATTTTGTTAATTTGTTTTGCGGGCCGTGTTGCCCGATCGCCATCTATTTCACGGGACCGGCAAGGTCATCTTTTTTTTGCTCTAAAATAGGCAAGGTCTAGTCTCTAGAATAGGAGGTTCCATTAACAGATCACACATGTTTATATTTCATCTATTCTTTTGTTAATTAAACTGGCCTAACTTTATATCAATCCTTTCGAGTGCGGGCCTCTGTTCATCTCCTAATTCTCCACCAAATTCAGTAAAGCTAGTTCGATCGATTATCTACATCTAGTCGGCCCGTTGAACCCGAAATAATGCGAAATATCTTTGAAATACGCGCTTAAGCTAATTTCACTCAAATGTATATTTGAAGTCATGATACATAAAGCTCCACCAGCTTCAAACAGCGTCTATGGCAGAGAAAAATTGTTTTGATATGACAAAATTAATTTTGCAAATCATGTGTGTCACTGTGGTAAAGTGGTCAAGGAGTTGCCTGAACGTGCAGAGTTACCGGGTTCGACTCCCGGCGACGCTGTTTTCTGTTTCTTTGAACCGTTTGAATCTTTTTTCTGTTTGGTCTCTTTTATTTTAACATTATTTTTCCTTTTGGCCTTTTTTGCTTTATTCTTACTGCTGACCGTGCCGGTCATGCACTTGCATCAATGTATATTTTAAGCTTAAGTCCAGAGTTTTATTTTGGAAAAGGGATTTCCAAATGAAAGCTTTTGATTTGTACACTGGCCAAGCTTACGACCAGAAAAAAACCATAAGCTGTCAAGACGTCCCTCCTCTGAAACAGCTGAATTTTTTTCAATGTTAGTTGACATCATGACAAACAACACATAGCACACCACAAAATGTACCGGCTAATTTACATCCACCAGTGACCCACTGGCGAAAATTAACCTAGCTTGCCGTTTGTACATCGCCTTAACTAATCAATATCATTACCCTAAAATCTCCACTGGGTTTGCCCCAAAAAATAATTAAACGAAACCTTTTATTGGTTTTCGGGATTTAATTACAAAATTACAGGTGTATGCCCAATACAGTATTAAAATGCGATAAAGCAACAAGATTCCATGCTCACAGTCTCTCACAAATGCCTGTCATTTACCTTCCTCTTTCAACGCTACAGCTAAGCGAACTTTGAGAGGAATGATATGGGGTTCCACTAGCTCTGAAGAGCTGAAAATACGCACAATGTAAAGTATAATACATCCCTTGATGAATCTCCTATTGCTGTGTCTAAAGTCCTCAATCTTGCTGTGCACTGGCCCTCAAAAGTGTGACCGGTCGGTATGATTGCTCGTAAAATTTGCTCGACGATAGAAAGGAATCTTTAAAATTCATTACACCACTGGCATTTCATTTCAAAAAAGTACTTAAGAGCGAATGCACAGAAAAATCGAGCAAAATCGGCAAATCGTGGCCACAGCTCAAAACCTAACTTACTCTCATTTTCAGTCTGTAATAAGGTTTTAATGAGTTTATAACACTGCTGGGGTTTAAATTTCAAAATGCGGCCGAGTTTGGGAATTATTTGAGATTTTCGATTTCAACGGTCTGCGGGCCTAAAATTAGCCGCCGAACACGGCAATATAGCCTAGCGACAGAAATGAGCTGACTTTCATAAACGAGCGAATATATTGCCAATCTTCCACTTAAATCTCAAAAAGCAGATATCTAACAATTTCTGAACGGCTTATTTTTTAGATTTAGAGTATAAAATATCGACGAACCAGCAGAATTTTGAAACGTAATTTGCATAATGCTTATAAATACAACAATTTACCGCTAAAACCAAAATCGAATTTTCTATATGGGGGAATTCTCCAAATCACCCCAAATCCCGCTTACTAACTAATGAGATATAGTACTTCAACATTATCTGAAAGTTAGTCTGGTGTTCTTGCGAACGCTTGTAAAATAGATTGATTATTTTGAAGTTATTTTGCCCCAAACAACTGCTAATTATTGACCCCAGGGTCAATTGACACGTGCACGTCACCTTAGTTTTATGCATCGATTTGAGCTCGTTAAAAGGGAGAAACTAACAAGATTCTTTTAATATGTACCTGTTTTAATGAAATACACGCAATCCTCAAAGGAGAGGCCGTTCAATGGGTAATTTCTGTTCTTGAGATCTTGAAGATTGCAGCATGGCGTCTGCGAGTGGACCTGAGTCTAGGTCTGTTTTCCCGTAACTGCGAAATCAGAATAACATCAAGAAATAATTCTCCCTCGTATCTTCGTAAGTGAATCAGCTTTGCAATGCCTTACCTGAGATAAAAAGTGGGCCGAATAGCAAAACATTTCCAGCGCAATTTGGATCCTTTGTCGAACGCAGTTTATTGCCGAGCGAAAGGTCAGTAAACAAACGTGGGAAAGTACGTTGCCTTTGATTGCGTGACCAGCCAGTAAACGATAGT